GGTCCTTCTTCGCGTGGCTGTGCTGCCGGGGTTGCGACGCCGCATGGGCCGCCGCGGCTCCCGCGAAGTGGGGTGTCGATCTTGGCGTGGCCAAGGGGTGTCGCCTTGGTCCACGCTGTTGGCACTGCGGCTGGCTGCCCGAGTAGCTCTCCCACTCTTGCTGCAGCCTCGCCCCGTCGCGGTGCTGGTTGCCTGCCTGGACCCAGGTGGCAGTGGGGATCGCGGCCTGAGGGAGTCGCTCAGGTCCGCGCTTGGAGCGCTCAAACTTGGTGTCGCCGTCCTGTGGGTGGTCCCCACCCTTGCCCACAGTTGCGGCGTCTAGGGAGCTAGTAATGCAGGTGGTTCGTCTGCTGCGTCTTTTGAGTCGGGGCTCCCTAGTAGAGCGTTGGTGGTTTGAAGCGGATGCGGCATCCCCCAGGCTCGCATCGGCTTGGACGTAACTATGTAGTGTGATGGAAGCTAGGTGCGATCGTGTGCGTGCGGCCAGGGGCCGTGGGTGGGGGTCGTTGGGCGTAGGCTCGTCACCGCACGGGTCTCTGAGTCTGGGCCCAATATCCCCGATGTCTTCTGGTGTGGCTGTCTGGGCGCAGGTCTGGGCCAGTTGCCCCCCAGCCTGCGTGCTCCAACTCAGTTTTTTGACAGTCGACCCCCGTCGAGGTCGCTCTCGCCGCTCTCGATGAAGGATGCCACCCTGTCGCCTGGGTCCGCGAAGCCATCGTCCGCGTCGCAGATCCTGACCTTTTTCGGCTGGCTCCTCGCCCTCCTGGGATCCCTTGGCTGCTTCAGGTTACCTCTGCATGGAGGTGCCGAGCTCGTCCTCTCTGGCGTGCCCAAGTGGAATCGCGGTGGTGGCAACCGTGGCTCGTGTGGCACGGTGGGCGTGATGTCCTCAATCGGCATCCGTGGAGGTGTGCTGGGGCAAGCCTCCTCGTCGCGGCTGAGGTCGATGAACAGCGTCGTCATGGGGGTTTTGGCTGGCTGTGATCGCTGTTGTGGGGTCTTGTTTGGCGTAAGAGGCGTGACGGGCGGAAAAAGTATGTGTCTTGGCGTGGGCTGTTCTGTCGGGATGGGTGAGTCGGCTGGTAACGTTGGTGAGAGTGAGGCGAGGTCTGTCGGGGCTTCGTCCTCCTTCTCCTCGCGCAGGCCTTGGTAGATCTTCGTCTCTTCGTCCTGCAGGTCGGCGTCGTCGGATTCGCCAATTGGGATGCAGTCGCTGTTCGCCCGTACGTCGAGCAGCCCCGAGTGCGAGAATTGGCCGACGCTGTTGTGTTCCTCGATGTGCGGGCGCTGCTGAGGTGGTGGTGGCGGTAGCGGACACTCTTCGGCGGATGTCCTCGGCGCGAAGCTTTGGTCCTGGAAGCTGAGGTCGTCGCACGACGAGAGGGTAGGCTCCTCTGGCGTTGGCATCGACGATGTATGAGACCTCTCTCCAAATCCCACCTCGGCCAGCTCCTCGAGGTACGGCGGTAGTTCTGGATGTGGAAGCTCGTACTGGCTAGGTAGTAGCCGGAGTAAGTCTGCCTCCAGTTGCTCCCTCTGGTACGCGCCCTCCTGCTCCGCCATGCCTTGGTCGCGCTCACTCGTGACTGGGTCTTCCATGAGGTCGTCCGTCATGTCGAGTAGCAGGTCCTCGTCCACTTGTCCTCCTGCTCCCCAGGCGTCCCGTAGTGCGTTCTGGAGTCCTGCCGTTTGCAAATCATGTGCGCGTTGGAGGTCTTGTAGTTGCTGCTGCCTCTGTGCGTCGCTCATGTACTGGTTGTGGGCGTAGTGCTGCGCCACGGCCTGCATCTCCTGCTGGTGCTGGTGCTGCAGAGTGCTGTGGTACTGCTGGGCCACTTGGTTCTCCATCTCCTGCTGATGCTGTAGTGCCTGGAGCTCGCTTGTGGCCGCTGCTTGTCGCTGCAGTGCCACCTCCTCCATCCTTTGGGCTTTGTCCACCGCCTCCTGGTGCTCCCCGACGCGCTCCAGGTACTTTTCCTGCTCGTGTTGCATCTCGTATGCCTTCGCCTGGATGGCTGCGTGCTCCAGGTTCAGGACGACCCGCATAGCTTCGCGCCTGTTGGCTTCTTCCTGGTGCTCGTAGGCCATCTGCTGGTAGTTCACTGCGATCCGCAGCTCCTCATCCTTGTAAGCGCTGCGACGGGCGCATCGCTCCTGGTATTCCGCCTCCGCCATCTCCTGCGTCGCCTTTTCGTTGTGCTCCTGCGCCATCTGGTACCACTGGGCCTCCTGAGCCGCCATCTGTCTCACAGCCTGCTCTTCCTGCCTGGCCTTCTGGACCTGCTGCGTGTAGATGGCTGCTCTTCTCTGGTCTTCCTTGTGCATATCCTCGCGTAGTGTCTTCTTTTCCAACTCAAGATGCATTTGCAAGTCCACGAGCATCCCTTTGGCCCTTTCCTCCTGTGTCCTCTGGGTGCCTCTTTGTGCCTCGTATGCTTTCGCTTCCTCCTCCTCCAGCTTGGCGTTGTGGTGCCGCTTGAGTGCGTTAACCTCCCATGTGCGCCACTCCTCCTGATTGGCCAGCTGCACTTCGGTCGTGTGGTACATCTTTTGCGCCATGGTCTGCTCGTAGGCCTTCAGCTCGCTTTTGTGCTTGAGCTCTGCTTGTGCCAGCAGGTCACTGTGCTGCTGTTCCTTTTTCTGCTGCGAGTCGAGCCTCTCGGTCAGTCTCCTGATGGCGTCTTTGATCTCGTCTGGTGCTGCTGGAGCTGATCGTGCAATTGTTGCTGGTCCCGAGGAAGCGCTCGCTGCTGTGGCTGGCTGAGCTGTGGCTGGCGCCGCTAGAGCTGCTGTTGGGTCGCGCCTCCTCCTCGCGGCCGGGTGTGGCGTGCGTCCTCTGGTGGGGTCATGGCTCCCCTCTTCCTCTGACGATTCCTCCTTTACGCCCGCTGACTTTGCCATTTGATCTCTGGTTTCCCTCATCAGGGTCTTGTAGACCCTGATGGTTCTGGCGGCCGCCGCCTCCTGGTCGAGCATCTTGCTGAGCCGCTTCTCCATCTCGGCATGCTCCTCCTCCAGCTTTTCCAGCGTAGCCCTGAGCTGCTTCATGCGCTCTTTGTGGGGTAGGACGAAGGAGATGTTCGTGGCGGTGATCGCCGCTTCCTGCTCGAGGCTGGATGTGCACAAGCCCGCCAGCCTAGCGCCAGCGATGTTCTCGGAGAGGCGTCCCAGCCTGTGGCACTTCGTCTTGTACCACACGAACCTCATCTCCTCGTCGTCTGGTGGTGCGGACCAGCTCTCATGTTCCATCGCGACGGCGAAGGAGACTGGTGTGATGCTGTCCAGGACTGCCTTTTGCTGAGGGCTGTACTGGAAGCTGCCAATGTAGGCAGAGACTGGCGTGTCGAGCTGGTCCCTTCTTCTGCGCCTGCTGCTTCTCCTTCTGGCTGAGGCGCTCCTCCATGGCGCACTGTGCTTCCAGTGCTGGTCGCTGTCACTTCGCTGCTGGTGCTGTGGGTGCTTTTGCTGGTGCTGGTGTTGGGCTGGCTGGTGGTGGTGCTTGTGGGTCTGAGGCTGCTGCTGCTGCTGCTGCTGGCTGTGCTGCCTCTTCTGAGAGTTGTGCTGATGGCCATCCCCGAGGGTCCACTCCCAGGGTCGCCCTCCGATGGCTCCGTAGTCGCCCGTCCAGTCATTTGCACTGCTGCTGCGTCTGCGCTGGCGCTGCGCCTGGGCTGTGGACCCTGCTCCTGTCCACCTTTTCCCAGGGCCGCGCCGCGAAGCCTCGAGGTGTGTGGTCCCTGCTCCTGACCACCTTTCCCTCGAGGCGTCGCGCTGTTTCCAGTTCTGCTCCATGACGTGCTGCTGGTGGCGTTGGGGCTGCTGCGCACTGTGGTGCTGCTCCAACCTGCTGGCTGCAGCCGCCAGTCTTATCAGCAGCCTGTCTTGTCCTCTTTGGGTCCTGGCGCGGCGGTGCCAGGCTTCTTCCTTGGTCCTGGGCGTGGCGGTCGGGGTGACCGCCGCGGCTGCGGCGCCTCTTTGTCTTCTCTTTGATGGCTCCGCGGCGCGCGAGCCACGACCGATGGGGCGACCGACGACGAACGATGCCGCGACGGTCCCAGCCCCTCCTCGGCCGTATGGCTTCTACAGCCTCCTCCTCCTTCTCCTCCTCCTCCTCCGTAGCCAGAGGCCCTCGCAGCGCGCCGCGCAGGCGCGTGGCGCGGCAGAGGCCATGGTGTCGGCGGGCGGCGCGGCTGGCGGCAGATGCTGGGCGGTCGCGAGGGCCCGCACCCTCGCCCGCAGGTTGCGGCGCGAGGCTCGCCGTGATGAGGTGCCGTCGCGGTCGGCTGCGCTGGTGGTGCGCGAGACAGCCTTTCGCGCCTCCCCTCGCGAGCACTGGCGGCTGTGCGACAGCCTCGGGGCGCACCTGCCCAGCATGGGCGAGGCGCTGCAGGCAGCCAGGCTGCTTCGGATGCAGCCCGACACCATCGCTACCCCCAAAATACCCCAAAAAGATAAACAAATGCTAAACAAATAGTCCCCCGACCATTTGGATTACAATTTTTTAGAATTATTTTGGGGGGATTCTTCATTTTTCGTCGAAGATCCCTTTGTAGGGGGACAGGCCCGACTTAACACCATCGCCCATTGCGGGGTAGCGCTGCAGGAGGGGAACCGGGCCAGGCACGCGCCTCCGCCCGGCGCGGCGGGCGGCCCAGCCTCGCCCCTCCTCGGCCGCGGGCGCTGCCACGCGCGGGGGCCTGGGACGCCCGGGGGGCTCGAGCGCCTGCATGGCGGGCGGTGCGGCGCCGGTCGGGGGCGGCTCCGCCCCCGTCACGCCCGTCTGCTTCGTGAAGGCCGACACGCTGCTGCAGGAGCCCCGAGGCGCCCTCGAGGGCGCGGAGTTCTTCGCGCCTCGCGGTTCGGCTCCGAGTCCTCCTCCTCCTCCTCTTCTCCCCTGGGACGCGGCGCGAGAGCGCGAAGTGATTCGCACTTCGCGCTTCGCGCAGCGCGGAGCGCGAAGCTGGGAGCCCTTGTTCGTGAAGGCCGACACGCTGCTGCAGGAGCTGGGCGTCGGCGGCCCTGCGGGCCTCGGGGCCCTTGCGGGGGATCGCTCCCGCGGCGGACGGCGACGCTGCGGCTGCGCGGGGCGCCGCTGCCGCGCTGGACGTGGTCGGCGATTGCCCCGTCGTCGGGGCGAGTTCGGACGTGGAGTTCGAGCGCGTTGCCAGCCCGACCGCCCGGCCGAAGGAGCAGCCGGATGTGTTGAAGCTGCAGGAGGAGGGGCCCACGGTGGAGTCCGAGCGGTTCCCGGTGGAGTCCGTGGGCGCGAGTGCGGCCGTTGACGTTGAGGTCGGTTCGGAACGGGAATTCGATGCCGTGGAACGCCTCGGGAGCGGTATCGCCGTCGACGGGCCCCCCGTGGCCGTGCCTGCGAGGTGCCCGCCGAGCTGGTCCAGGCGCTCACCACCGAGGAGCCCGCCAAGCTGCTCCAGACGGACACCACCGAGGAGCCTGTCGAGATGGTCCAGGCGGATACTTCCGGGGAGCCCGCCGAGCTGGTCGAGGCGGACACCATCAAGGAGTCCGTCGAGCTGGTCCAGGCGGACACCGCCGTGGAACCCGCCGAGCTGGGCCAGACAGACCACCGAGGAGCCCGCCGAGCTGGCGGCCCGGGGCGGCCGAGGTTGCGGAGAGCAGGGTCTTCACCAGCCCGAGCCGCTGCGTCGTCGAGCTGCTATTCTCCAGGCTGTTCGCGCGCAGCCGCGTGATGAGCGTCCCGGAGCGTGCGAACGGCGAGCCGACGATCGGGCACCCCGACGTCGGCGTGAGCTCTGGAGGACGTCGTCCTCCAGAGCGAGGCCGAGGGCATCGCCCTCGACTCCGTGCGCGACTTCATGGGGGGCGCCCGCTTCCGGCAGGCCTACTTCCTGAAGGGCGTGTTACCTCGTCCAGGTGGATGGCGGGGTCGGCGACCCCTGATCGGAGGTGGATAGACCTCCTACCCTGACACGTCGATTAAGGAATTGGCCGTTTTCGGTTCGCGAGAGGGCGTCGCGGCCGTCCTTTTTGCGGGTCCAGGTCCGTCGGTTTCGGTCCCAGGCCGCTTTCACTAAGGGGAGGTTTACTAAAGGGAGGTTTGTCCACCGCCGACCTGAGTGGCTGGCCCCTCGCTGGCTCTGCCTCGGCTTCCTGGCCGGCGGCCCCCCTCGGCGTGTTCGGGGGGTTGGCGCCGCGGCCTGGGGCTCGGGCTGGCGCGCCTGCCCGTGTCCCGTTCCCGATGGCGGCCTCTGGGTTGGAGGCCTGGAAATTGGCACCAACACCAAGACAGGGGGCTGCCTCCACAGGGGGGAGATGATCCTAGATTTCGGCGTCGATGGCAATATTTCGGTCACCTTGGAAGCCAGAATATTATATATCACCATCACCGAGATCGGGGTCCCCACTCCCTCGGTGGAGGAACGCCGCCGATATTGGTGTCGGTGTCAACCTCTAGGCCTGCGATTGGGGGCCGTCTGGTGGCCCCCCGTCCCCGCGGGGGTGGCTTCCGTTCCCCCGCCTTCCCTTCGGGGTAGGCCGGGGTCGTGACGGATGCCTGTCCCTTGGCATCGCTTGGACGTGTGCATTTTTTCCCGGCGACGACCTCGGCGTCCGCGCGGCGTGCCCGCGGCGGCGCGGGAGACGTCGACATCTGGGGCCCTGGCGGTCGTCTGCGCGCAGACGGTCGCCATGGCCTCTGTGACGATGCTCCATCCATCCATCTTCCTCCTCCTCCTCCTCATCCTCCTCCTCGTCCTCCTCTTCCTCCTTCTCCCCCCCCGCGCGCAGGCAAGCGCCGCCCAGTCGCCCGAATCATATGCTTGGCACCGCGTGCCGACCCAAGCGCGAAACATTTGAGTATGTTGGTCTCGGCCTGCCCGTCGGACGGCTCCGCAGCACCCTGCAACACGTCCGCCGCCGCGCGGGCAAACGCCACCGCCGCCGTTGCTGCCCGTTGACCTCCGCTCGCAACGCCCACGCAAAACGCCCTCGACGATCGCGCGGGTTTCGCGCCCGAAACACCCATAGCGGGCCGCGGAGAAGCCCGCGCGGCGGAGTAGGACCCCAGCACATGATAGCCACAATGGCTACGGATGGACGGAAGGAGGAAGTGGAGAAAGATGCGCTGATGATGAAGTTGGGGAGGATGGCCAGGAGGATCATGCTGATGAGGAGCATGCGGCAGATGATGATGACGATGGCACATGTGGGCAATGAGGAGGAGGAGGACGACGAGGACGATTGCGAGGACGAGGGTGACGAGGACGAGGGGTTGGAGGACGAAACGGATTGAGAAGGATGAGGACGTTAGGGAACGATGGAGCCAACGCAGCTCTGCCCGTCGCTCATTCCATTTTTTCGGCTGGCGAGCGTCCCCGCTGGCCGCCCTGGCGGCGCGAACGCTCGAGGAAGAGCAAGGGCCCGACGAGTCGCTGGAGGCAGGTGGCGACATTCGAGCCGGCGGCGAGCATGCGGGGTGGCAGTCAAGCTGTGAGCGTCCTGTCTCGCCTATAGGCATACCAAAAAATGTCCTAAGAACCTTTTGAGGTTTCCACGACATGTTCTTAGAACATGTCTGGCTGGGGCTGTCTTGTTTTAACATCTCGGGTTTCTGGTATAAGAACATTGTTTTTTGTTCTTAGAACATTTTTTGGGTTCTAAGAAGATTCCGTGGTACGCCTATAGGAATGCCGGGACGGTCGGTCCCTGCTCAAGGAAATGAGAAGGGGCGGGCATTTTCAGAAAAGGCTCGGCAGCCCCCTGGCCCTCCCTTGAGAAGTTACCTGAGCTTTCCCCGAAGACACAGTGAACTTTCTCGGGAAGCCAGAGCGCTTCTGAGAAGCCTCGCCGCCTTCTGAGGAGGCCTCCTCCATCTCACTTCCCATAGGAGGAAGATCCAGCTGGCCTCGCGCAGCGCGCGCAATACAGTGGAAACTCATGCCAGGAAACACCCTGCTTGTCTCCAGGGTGCCCTGGGTCGCTTTGGTTTCGATGGTTTTGCTTTGGAAAGCTTGACGTTCCCACACCACAAATCCATGGACATGGCTGGTTTTCTCGTGGAGGGTTTCCTGTGGTCGAGCTCCTATTCTTGTTGTATTGCGAAGGCCTGACGGCCGGTGCCGCTGACCCTTAAGAGGACCACGACGTCGGCGACGAAGTGGGCGGAGACGGAGGCCGTGGAAGATGAGGAGGAGGAGGTGGAGGAGGAGGAGGAGGAGGCGAGGAGGAGAGGGAGGAGGAGGAGGAGGAGGAGGAGGAGGAGGAGGAAGAGGATGAGGAAGAGAGGAGGAGGAGGAGGAGGAAGAGGAGGAGGAGGAGGAGGAGGAGGAGGAGGAGGAGGAGGTGGAGAAGGAGGAGGAGGAGGAGGAGGAGGAGGAGGAGGAGGAGGAGGAGGAGGAGGAGGAGAGGAGGAGGAGAGGAGGAGGGGGGAGGAGGCGGAGGAGGAGGAGGAGGAGGAGGAAGAGGATGAGGAAGAGGAGGAGGAGGAGGAGGAGGAGGAGGAGGGAGGAGGGAGTCGAGCTCCTACTGTAGTTGTATCATCTGGTCCACGCGTCCGCCTCGTCGGGTCTGGGACGCCGCTCGCGCGGCGATGTTTCCCGACGCACGTCCGACGCGAAGCCGACGCGGTTCCGACGCAGCTCCGACGAGCCCGAAGTAAATCCGGCGTGGGTGGGTCCGACGTAACTCAGCGGCACCGTAACGGGTACTCACTAATCAAGGGCGCCCTCGAGGGCGCGAAGTTATTGGTGCTTCGCGCTTCGCGGTTCGGCTCCGATTCTTCCTCATCCTCTCAGTCTCCTTCTCCCCTGGGAGGCGGCGCGAGAGCGCGAAGTTATTCGCACTTCGTGCTTCGCGCAGCGCGAAGCGCGAAGTTGGGAGCCCTTGGGCGTAAATCAACGGCACCGTAACGGGTACTCACTAACGGGTATTTTGGAGATGTGCCGAACGTTGCCGCTTTAGGGCCTCTTTCTGGCATTGCAGCGTTGCCCACACGTTGCCCACATCGGGGAGGGTTGGGTTCGCCGGGCCACTGGCCAAAGTACCCGTTAATGGAGTCCCCGTTAGAGGGGCGTTGAGTAAATTGGGTCTCGAGTTGCCGCGCGAGGTCTCCCGGATTTTTCTCACACCCTTCGCTCGCCGCGGATCAAAGGGAAAACGTTAGAGCGTGCGTAACCGTAAATTTGGGGAGGCTCGCGCGGATCTCGTAAGGGTTTCGCAAGCCCGCGGAGGTGGGCTTAGCGTTGATCCAAGAAATTCATTCGTTCTTTCTCCTCGGGACCTCAGTGGATGGAAACGGTGCCCATTATGCCACCCTTCGTCTTTTTTCCCCTGTTGGACCTTCTTGGAGGCCCTCGTCGCCACTGCTGGATTTGTCCCGAAATCCAAGTCAAAACGCACCCTGGGAGAGGTCCGTGGAGTAGTGGTATCGGTACCTGTGGGTTCCCCATAGACATCTGACATCTGAATGGTCTCTGCCTTGATGTCGACGCAGGCTGCAAGCCACGCAGGCTGCAAATCTCAGATTGTGCACTCGAAGGGGCAGTGGGGTGCTTCATCAGTACAGGTCTGCACAGCATACATTTGCTTGCGCGGCGTTGGCTCTTCGGCATTTCTATCCACATTGCCTTTGAAGGATATACAGAGGCGACTCCGTCAAGTTCAAGGACCGATTGACACTTTTTTTCCATCCGTTGCGTCCACGTTTGTGTTGACTGTCAAGCGGGGGCTTTGCTTTGACCAGTCTGCAACGACCAGGGTGTCGCTTTGGCACGAGGGGCTTCTGGCGGATTTTGTCGGGGATGATTGTTGTTTACCATAGTTATTTGTTTTGCTTTTTGCTTGTCCAGGGGTAGCAGGGGAATGCAGGTGGCCGGGAAGGTGGGCGTCGTTGCCACCCTGCCCTGTCGTTGCCGCCGCCGTTTTCGTCGCCGTCGTCGTGGCCACCGTCCTCGGCGTCGCCGCCGCCGCCATGGCCGCCGTCCCCGCCGCTGACGTTGCGTTCGCCTCCGTCGCTGCCGTCCGCTGCTCCCATTGCCTTCGGGAGTTTCGCGGTGTAAAGTGATGTGCCCATAGGCTCGTTGATTTCGGAGAGGGTTGGGCAAAGAGTCGAGCTCTCTTCCCCCAGTCGTGTGCCAGTTGCATCTCTATTTCCAGGCAATCGCTGTTCTTGCTTATTCGGCTAATTCGGTGCCGTTCTGTCCCTCTCACTTCGTATGTATGCATGTATGTATGTATGTATGTATGCATGCATGCATGCATGCATGCATGCATGTATGCATGTATGTATGCATGCATGCATGTATGTCTGTATGTATGTATGCATGTGTGTATACATGTATGTATGTATGTATGTATGCATGCATGTATGTATGTATGTATGTATGTGTGTATGTATGTATGTATGTATGTATGTATGTATGTACGTTCATATGTATGTCTGTCTGTCTGTCTGTCTGTCTGTCTGTATGTAATGTATGTATGTATGTATGTATGTATGTATGTATGTATGTATGTATGTATGTATGTATGTATGTATGTATGTATGCATGTATGTATGTATGTATGTATGTATGCATGCATGCATGCATGTATATATGAATGTATGTATATATGTATGTATGTATGTATGTATGTATGTATGTAGGAATGAATGAATGTATGTGTGTATGTATATAGGTATGCATGTATGCATGTATGTATATATGCATGTATGCATGTATGTAATGCATGCATGCATGTATGCATGTATGCATGTATGCATGTATGTATGTATGTATGTATGTATGTATGCATGTATGTATGTATGTATGCATGTATATATGTATAGGTGTATATGTATGTATGTATGTATGTATGTATGTATGTATGTATGTATGTATGTATGTTTGTATGTATATATGTATGTTTGTATGTATGCATGTATGTATGTATGTATGTATGTAGGTATGTATGCATGTATGTATGTACGAATGTGCGTATGTGTGTATGTATGTATGTATGTATGCAGGTATGTCTGTCTGTCTGTCTGTCTGCCTGCCTATATATGTATGTATGCATGTATGTATGTATGCATGCATGCATGCATGCATGCATGTATGTATGTATGCATGCATGCATGCATGTATGTATGTATGTATGTATGTATGTATGTATGTATGTAGCGTCGCACATCTGCTCAGAGGCTCGGCGGGCCGCGACGCCAAGATGCTCACGGCACCATCGGGCTGCGCCGTGTCTTCGCCATCGCCTCCCGCTTGCGCGAGGCCCCTGGCGCGCTGAGGCTGGTTCCCCTGTTTGGGGGACGTGCCGATGCGAGTGGTCAGCTACAACCCGCTCTCGCTTTGCAGGCGCCTCCGATCGGAGGAGATTAGCCAGGAGCTCGAGCACTACGACATCGTGGCGCTGCAGGGCACACAGATGAAGTGGAGCGGCGGCGTGGACGTCTCGAAGCAGACCCTGCCGAACCACGACGCCCTGCACTGGGGGTGGGGTCGAGGCGGGCACACCAACAAGGCGTGTGGGGTCTCGATCTTTTTCAAAAAGGGCTTCAAGGTGCTGAAGCTCCTGTCGCCGCCGCCGGCCCTGCGGGGGCGCGGCGGCGGCGCGCGCCTGCGGCGCGGGGCGCCGGACGTCCTGGTGCTTGCCCTCTACTTCCCTGTGAGGGGCTTGGCGGTCCAGCGGGCGGCGGCGGAGGCTCTCTTCACGTGGCTCATGGAGACCCCCGTCCGCTGCACGCCGCTGCTCTGCGCCGACCTCATCGACGGGCTTGGCATGGTCAAGCATGAGGCGGGGGTCTGCGTGCCCATGTCGGAGGCTATAGGAGGGGTCGAGCCCGCGCTGGAGCGCGAGTGTGGCGCGGCGTGGGGGCGGCTATGCGAGGACTTGGGGCTCGCCACTGTCAACACGTTCTACGAGGGCTACACTTTTTCGGGCCCCACGGGGGCCAGGTCTAGGCCAGATGTGATCGCGATCCCCCGCGGGCTCATGCGGAGTGTGGGGTCCTGCAAGCCGCTCTACGCGATCGGCGACAGGTTGCAGTCCATCCGAGCGAGAGGAAGGAGGGATCACACACCGCTGGGGCCGTCGGTGATGATCATGCCTGTGCATCTCGAGCTCCTCCCCAGGGCTGAGAGGGCGCAGTGGAGCATGGATGCGTGCATTCAGGCCATGAAGCGCCACCAGGGCAAGACGGAGTTCTTGAGGGAGCTGGAGTGCCAGTGCGAGCACCTGGTTCGCCCGCAGCTGGAGGACGAGCTGGGGCCCGACGAGGCGCGGAGCGAGCTGGTGGAGACGGCGCGCGAGGTGGGCCCCCGCGCACTTCGGCGTCAAGGCGCGCGACACGAGGGAGATGGATGAGGCGACGGCGCAGCGCAAGAAGTTGTTGCAGGAGCGGGCGGCCATCCGTCGTCGGCATGTGGTCGAGGGTGAGGCGGCGACATCGACGGAGGCCGAGGTGGAGAGGTGCGTGCAGGAGCTCAGGGACGCCACCCGCCGCCTGCGCGCGCTGCAGCGGCAGCAGCGCAGGCGGCTCCGCGCGGTGCGCTGCGAGGCGCTGGCGGAGGCGGAGAGGGTGGGCGACGCGGCCACGGCCTGGAGGCTGGCCCACTTGCTCGGCGAGAGGGGGAAGGGCGCGCGGCGTCGGGCGCACTGCGCACCCCGCCTGGAGCACGCGGCGGCGGCGCGGCGCCAGCTCCTCAAGGGCCCTGGGCGCCCGGGGGGATACGCGGCGACGGAGCTGGACTCGAGGCCGTGCCTGGAGCAGCTCAGGCAGCCGCTGGTCAGGTGCTGCTCGGCGCGGGAGGCTGAGGAGGCGGCGGCGCTGGACTTGAAGGAGCTGGAGGAGCGCCTGCGCAGGGGGATGCAGCCTCGACGCGCAGCGCCGCCGTGGTCGGCCCCTGTGCCAGCGTGGAGGACGTGCTCGGCGCCGAGGTCGGCTGCGGCGCAGGGCGAGGGCATCGGCTACAGGCCGGAGCCACCGAGCATGCAAGCGTTCAGGGAGCGGCTGCTGCACTGCCTGGCCCTCGTCCGCGTGTTCCAGGCTGCCCCGCTGGCGTGGTCCAGGTCTAGGGCGGCGGACGTCGGCAGGGCCATCCGCGCGATGTGTCCCATCGGCAAATGCTACACCACGGTGCTGACGACGAGAGGGCCGAGAATGCTGAAGGCGGCGCCGAATGACCTCGGCTTTGCCCCGAGGCGCTCTCGGGGATGGGGCGCTGGTGGTCACCACAGCGGTGGCCGAGCGGGCGGCGCACTTCGGCCTCGCGGCGATCACGAGCTTCAAGGACTTGAGCAAGGCGTTCCAGTGCCCGTCCGTGGGCGACATGATGCGGGGCCTGGGGGGCTTGGCGCGCGTGGAGGACCACCCCATTGTGGCGCGCAGGGTCCTCTCTTCGACTACCACTGCGAGGTCGAGACGGCCGAGGGGGTGCTGCGCATGAAGACTAACCGGGGCGTGCTCATCGGCGACTCGATCGGCCCGCCGCTCTTCCTTGAGGTGTCCACGCCGGTTGCGACCGAGTGGGCCATCGAGGGCGCGGGTCGGCCCGACGCGCAGCTGTTGGAGGCGAAGTCCGTCTTCGCGGGCGCCGCGCTGGACCTCGGCCTCGCGAAGTTTGCGGATGACCTCTGCAAGCGCTTCGTTTCGTGGTGCCACGACGCGGGATCAAGAATCACAAGGCCTCGGACGAGAATCACAAGGCCTCGGACGAGCTGCTGGACAGGTTGCTGGAGCCGCGCGGGCTCCAGCGTAACATCTCCCAGCAGTGCGCTATGTGTGCCTTCCGTTCGGTTGGGGCCAGGGCCTGGACGAGGGCCTTCTTCGCGGGCAGGCTCGGAGCGAGGGGCAACTGCTCGACGGTCGCCCGCTACTTGGGCCCGATGCTGCGCTGCCAGGGCGGCCCGGCGACGGAGATCAGGGCCCGCGTGGCGGCGGCCACGCGGGGCTTCGCGGGCATGGGGCGCTTCTGGAAGTCTGAGACCTCCGTCGAGGTGGTGCGGCAGGTCTTCCGCTCAATGGTGCTGGGGGCCCTCCTCTCGGGGACGGCGGCGGTCGTGCCCGCGCAGTCTTTCCTGGCCTCCCTGGGGGGGGGGGCCGCGCTGCGCCTGGGCCGCTCGGCCCTGGGCGCGCGGGTGTTGAAGGGCTTCCTGGAGGAGGAGAGCTACCAGCACAGGGCCATGCCCTCCCAGGTTGTGCGCCAGCTGCTGCAGATGGCGGACATCGAGACCGAGCTGCGCGCGGTCAGGCTCGGGCTCATGAAGTGCATGGTGCGACATCCTGGAGATCACGAGATGGAGCTCACGGCGCTGTTCGGCCAGCTGCCCTTCGCGCTGCAGCCCGTGCTGGGCGAGGGCGGCCGCTTGGGCGAGGGGGGCCCCGGCGCTCGCGAGGCTGCTGGTGGGCGACTTGAAGCGGCTCTTTCACGCGTCGGAGCGCTTGGACCTGCTGGAGGTGCGGGGCGAGCGCCCCCTCGTGCTGCTGCAGGGTGCGCTGCGTGAGGAGGTCCTTCAGCTCGACCCCCGTGTGCTTCGGGTCCGCGGATGGGCGGCACAGTGCCCGCCGTCGCGAGAGGTGCCCGCGGCAGTGCGGCATCGCTGGTGGACACTGCATGGCGACCCTTTTCGTCCTGCACGTGAGCCGTCTGGCCTCATCGACATCGGTGACTTCGAGTTCGCGTGCCAGGAGCCCTGCGCTGAGGGCCTGTGCGGGGCCGCCTTCTGTTCGGAGCGAGCCCTGCTGTGGCGCAAAATCAGCTCTCGCAAGTATCGGGCGATCGAGTCATCCTTGTGCGCGTCGAATCAGTGTGGGTTCTGCGGGACGGTGCTGGCGTCTAGGGCTTCGGCTGCGCAGCACGTCAGGTTCGCTCTTGCTCGAGGGTACTGTCGGGGAGGGCTGGCGCGTGCTGCGCCGAAGTTGCTGGTCCCAGACGATATTCGATGTCCTGCGTGCGGCGAGCTGCCCCCGGCGCTGGAGCTCCACTACAGCCATTTCCTCTCAGTGCATTTCGCAGGAAGGAGACCTGCCGTGCTGCCGCCGCGGCCCCCGCAGCCTCGCGGCCATGCTGGCCTTGGCGGCTGCCCCGGCCGCGGCCGCGCCGCGGGCGCCAGCCTGGGCCCTGGCGGGCGCGCCAGCCGTGGCCGAGGACGGGGCCCGCGCGGTGGAGGGGGGCCGCCAGGCGGCCGTCGTTTTCGTCGGCGCCCTGCAGGAGTCCCACGCCGCGGGGGAGAGGAGGACCAGGACGGGGCGGCCCCCAGCCGCGAGGCAGGGCCAAGGCCGCCGCGGAGCCTCGCGCCCGCCGCCAGCAGGACGAGTTCGAGGAGACGATGGCATCGATGGCGCGCCTGGTGCTCTCGCACGACCTCCAGATCCGCGACCTCGAGTCGGCCTGCTACATCGCGTTCAAGGTGCCGATCGACAACGACATGATCAAGAAGGATGCGGGCAATAACTATAGCAACATGTTCCGCGGCAAGAGCCCCACGCAGCACGGCCTGAGACCGCCGCTGCCCTACCTCGTGGAGTCGGCGGCGCGCTCCCTCGCCAGCGCGGCGGAGGTGACGGGTACCGACTTGGAGGGCCCAGTGAAGGCGTTCCACGCTCAGGTCAGCGACAAGGAGTTCACGATGTCCAGCTTCAAGTACTTCAAGGTCAAGGACATGTACGACAAGACGCACGCCCGAGTGTGCGTGGCGGTGGGGGTGCCCGAGGTCGCGGCCACGTTCAAGAAGGCCATGATCAAGGTCGGCAGCGAGGAGCTGCTGGGCACCGCGCCGCCAGGCGGGCTCCATCGGAGCCTTCAGGAGTGGTTGGGCCAGCGCTGATGGACGTGATCCGCAGGCTGGTGGATGGGCGCGGGGGGGGGGCCACCGACGGGCGGTCCGTGCCCGCGCCTGCCGAGGCACGCCGTCGGGGCGCCTCGCCCCCGCCCGCCCTTCGGCTGGGGCGCCCGCTCGGCCGCGGGGCTGGGGCGGCGGCGGACGGCGAGGCCGCGCGGGGCGCACGCGCTGCCTCCTCGCGTGAGCGTGCCGCCGTGGGCTGAGCGGGGGCTTGGGCCTCTCTTTCTTCTCTCCCTGGGTCCTGGGCCGTCCTGGGCCCCTGTGTCCCTGGCCTTGGCCCCCTGGCCCCGTGGCCGTCTCTCCTGGCGCCCAAACCTAATAATAATGCATACATGTCTGACAGTCTGTCTGTCTGTCTGTCTGCCTGCCTGCCTGCCTGCCTGCCTGCCTGCCTGTCTGCCTATGTGTGTGTCTGGATGTATGTATGTATGTATGGATGGATGGATGGATGTATGCGTGTACGTATGTGTATGATGCACATGCATATACATCTATGTATACATAGGTCCCTGAACCCACCATGAACCCTTCTTTCCTTCTGGAACTGCCAAGAGGAAAGGAAGGTTGGTGGGTCGTCGTGCTGGAGCGCGCGCGCGTGTACAAGAAGAATATGACAAAGAGACGGAGGGAGGGTGAGTATCGGGAGGGTGTGTTGGAGACGGGTGGAGTGGAGTGTACGGAAGGTGTGGAGTGGACGGAGGCTGTGGAGTAGAAGGATATTTTCAAGTTCAGCTTGGGGAGGGAGCCTGTTGAGTATCGGGAGGGTGTGTTGGAGACGGGGTGGAGTGGAGTATACGGAAGTGTTGACTCGATCGCGCTTTTCTGTGTGGATGTGGACGGAGGCTGTGTGCGTAGAAGGATTTATTTTCAAGTTTCAGCTTGGGAGGGAGCCGTGTTGAGTAGCCGCATGTGGTGTGGGTAGTGTGGAGACGGGTGAGTGGAGTATACGGCGAGGGTGTGGAGTGCCGAGAAGGCGTGGGAGTAGAAGGATCTGTTCAAGTTCAGAGCTTGGGGAGGGAGCTCTTGCACCAGATTGTCGTGGAGTACCGGAGGGTGTGTTGGAGACGGGTGGAATGGAGTATACGGAAGGTGTGGAGTGGACGGGGGCTGTGGAGTAGAAGGATATTTTGAAGTTCAGCTTGGGGAGGGAGCCTGTTGAGTATCGGGAGGGTGTGTTGGAGACGGGTGGAGTGGAGTATACGGAAGGTGTGGAGTGGACGGAGGCTGTGGAGTAGTAGGATATTTTCAAGTTCAGCTTGGGGAGGGAGCCTGTTGAGTATCGGGAGGGTGTGGTGGAGACGGGTGGACTGGAGTATACGGAAGGTGTGGAGTGGACGGAGGCTGTGGAGTAGTAGGATATTTTCAAGTTCAGCTTGGGGAGGGAGTTTGTTGAGTATCGGGAGGGTGTGTTGGAGACGGGTGGAGTGGAGTATACGGAAGGTGTGGAGTGGACGGAGGCTGTGGAGTAGAAGGAGGTGGCAAGTTCAGGGGGGGGGGGGGCTTTGGGGGGGCCACGGAAAAAAAAGCCTTTGCGTATCGGGAGGGGTTTGTGTTGAGCGGGCGGAGTGGAGTATACGGAAGGTGTGGAGTGGACGGAGGCTGTGGAGGTAGTAGGAATTTTCAAGTCAGATGGGTTGTTCTGACCCTTTGCCTTTCTTTCTTTTGCGCTGTTCTTTCTTTGGGGAGGGAGCCTGTTGAGTATCGGGAGGGTGTGGTGGAGACGGGTGGACTGGAGTATACGGAAGGTGTGGAGTGGACGGAGGCTGTGGAGTAGTAGGATATTTTCAAGTTCAGCTTGGGGAGGGAGTTTGTTGAGTATCGGGAGGGTGTGTTGGAGACGGGTGGAGTGGAGTATACGGAAGGTGTGGAGTGGACGGAGGCTGTGGAGTAGAAGGATATTTAATCGATTCGCTCATTCCGCCGGCCCATATTGTCGCACCGTTGTGTGCTAGCCGAGTTTTGGGGCCTCTTGGGGGCCGTTTTGGGGCCTCTTGGGGCCTCTTTTGGGCCTCTTGGGCGCCTCTTGGGGCGTCTTGGGGGCCTCTTGGGGGCCTCTTGGGGCCTTTTTGGGGCCTCCTGGGCGCCTTCTGGGGCGGAGGGCTCGATTTTTCAGTTCTCTGTTCCCCTCTTGAGCCCCTCTTGGGCCCGTCTTGGGGCCTCTTGGTCCGTCTTGGGCGGCACTTGGGCCGTCTTGGGGGCCCTCCTGGGCCGTTCCGGGGCCGTCTTGGGAGCCTCGTGGGCCGTCTTGGCGCGGTCTTGGGGGCCTCTTGGGCCGTCTTGGAGCGTCCGGAAGCCGAAAAAGCCAGAACGCAAAAAACATAGAAAAAAAACAATGAAAATCAACGATTTTGGCCTCTTGGGGCCCTCTTCGGAGGCCTCTTGGAAGGCCCTTGGGGCGTCTTGGAGGCCTCTTGGGCTGTCTTGGGGCCCTTTTGGGCGTCTTCGGGCGATCTTTGGCCGTCTCGGGGCCCTCTTGGACCGTCTTGGAGGCTTCTTGGGGACCTCTTGGCCCGTCCTGGGGCCCTGTAACAGGGCTCCGGCATCTCTGGCCCGACCTTGCCGGGACCTTGCCGGGGACTTGCCGGGGACTTGCCGGGACCTTGCCGGGGTACTTTTCGTCCGGGGACCCCCAGTGGCCGCCCCGCGCGCGCGAACTAGAAATACTGTTAACCAGGTACCGGAGATCTTAGCACGCCCTTGCCCGTTGGGCCGGCGAATTTTCAAGTTCAGCTTGGGGAGGGAGCCTGTTGAGTATCGGGAGGGTGTGTTGGAGACGGGTGGAGTGGAGTATACGGAAGGTGTGGAGTGGACGGAGGCGGTGGAGTAGAAGATGAATGAGTAAACGGCTTCGGATGAATGAGTACATGATGAGTACACATGATGATGATGATGATGATGATGATGATGATGATGATGATGATGATGATGATGATGATGATGATGATGATGATGATGATGATGATGATGATGATGATGATGATGATGATGATGATGATGATGATGACGTGGGAACGGCCTTGGGGGGGCACGGAAACTATAGGAATTCATATAGTTTTTGAGGAATGAAGGGTTCATGGTGGGTTCAGCGGGCTATATATACATACATGTACACACATACGTGTGTTTGTATGCATACGTGCACATCTGCGCGCGGGCCCCACTGGCAGCACATCCATGCGGTGGAACGCGCGGTCAGAAAGAGTAGCGAGGTGCGGATTCTGTCCGCCCTTCGAGGGCGGCGGTATGTTGGTTGGCTCTTGCATTAAACCGTTTGCGTCCATGGGAAGAGGGGAACGAGGAGGAGGAGGAAGAGGAGGAAGAGGAGGAGGAGGAGGAGGAGTAAGATGGATATCGTGTACGGCTTGGGTGGCACAGGCCGCATGTTTGACCCCCCCGAGGGAATTGCATTGGAGAGCGCAGTCTGGACCCCAGACAACGCACGAACCGACCTAACGTATACCGAGTTGACGTGCCGATCTTCAGCAACGCGGGGGGTTCTAAAGAGATGCCCCCCCGGACAGACCCAAGTGAGAGACAACATCGAACCACAAGTTCTTTAACGTTTCGCGTATCCCCGCCAGCCCATCTTGGCCAGGCAAATTGGTTTGATCATGGTTGATCATGGCAGCGTCGAAGGATGCACTGTAACGGGTTCTGGGTCAGCCTGAGCAGACCCAGAACGAGGAGGAGGACGAGGATGAGGGACAAACGCGAAAGGATGACCAGAACGAGGACGAGGAAAAAGAGGAAAGCGGGGCTTCTTCGGGGCAGTTTTGGGGCTTTTTGGGAGCCTCTTGGGGGCCTTTGGTGGGTCTCTTGGGGCCTCTTTGGACCTCGTGGGGGCCCTTCGGGGCCGAGAGCTCGAAATGTCCGCTCGGGTTCCCCAGCTGGGCTCCCTTGGAGTCGTCTGTGGGGCCTCTTGGGCCGTCTCGGGCGCCTCTTTGGCCGTCTTGGGGACTTGGCCTTGTTGGGCAGCTTTGGGGCCGGCTCAAAAAGCCCCCAAAAACATGACAAGAGGGTTC